TCCTTCCTCTTATTCACTATATAAGACCGTTAGACTTTCTCTCTTGCTAATTGACCTTCGGAATTGAATAAGTAATCTTCACCGTTTTTAACCACGCAACTCTGCGAGTCTTATGTAATATAAATACGGAATAGTAGGCTATCCTTGAAAGTCCTTGGAAATGTTCATTTGTACGATAAAAAAGAAAAGTAGAGCATAGATTTAATAAAATTGAATAATATAGATGACGCGAAACCTTTAAAAATCTCAACAGATATTCTTCCATCGATCTTCGTTATATGAACAACTAATTAACCTACATCTGAATAATATTTCTTCTATATCTTTAAAGAATTCTTAACTATACGAAAATATGACACTGTGTTATATGATAAAAAATGGTACAAACATTTTAAATATCAAATGAAAAAGATAATAAAGGATACAATCTAATCACTATCACTTTTCTTTTAAGAGACATGACGCGTCGAACTCTTAACGCTGTTTAGTTTCGAACAGGAAGAATAGTTAACATGAACACATTCGCGTCGAATGACTTATACATTCGTAATACGTGTTTTCTGCTACAGACCGGATAACGTAAAAATATATAATTGAAATATGTATATATTTATCTTCAAGAGACTAAATAATAACCATAATATTGCATCTTATTAAACAGTATACATTTATAAAACGATAAAATAATTTACTACATAACCCAAACACATTTCCTTGAAAAATATTATCAAATATAACGGATCAAGACTTAACGAAGTGTAGATGTATAGTGTTTTGAATATTATAAATAAAAAGAAAAAATGTATGTCTGCTTAAATATAAAAAAGACGCTGAACTTTAGAGATTAAGTTGCTGAAGAAGTCCCAATAAAGGGACGAAACGTCCAACTTATCAAAACGAAGTTCTATTTCTTTTGAATGTCCAAATTCCCTAAAAAACCTTTTTATTTTTTGGACCAGAGAAACAACCAATTGAATAATTATTTATTTCAAAAGTTATACTAAAGTGTTCTCGTCCTTTTTTTTAACAAAACACGATTAAAACAGAAATCACGAAATTTTTCGAATCCTACGTAAAGTTTGATTCAAAACGCGCCGACGTGAAATCATGACGCTATTTAGTTTTCGCGAAAACGAAGGAATAGTTAAAAGAAGTATATAGCTGAAGGAGTGATGGGAAACGTACTCGTGTTATCCATTCTTGGAGCGGAATTAACACAAGGCGTTCTCCTCGTTCTTCCGTTAAGTAGCGGGCAGTAGTGCGTGGACTTGCGTAGTCGGATGGTTCGAGTTTGCTAGTTGAAGCTAGCTTGTGCGGGTCAATGCCTTGGCTGTCCTCGACTAGTCGACTCCCATTGCTAGTACTACACACATACATATATATTTATATATATATATATAAATTGTATCTTACATAGGATACATACATACATACATAGAGATGTAACTACGTAAGATCTCGCTTGGCTGCTACTTCATCCGGTACATCCGAGCCATGCTCGACGTGCTTCCGAGGGGTCTGAAACGTTTCCGGGAGGTTAAAGTAGATCGAAACGAGGTCGATTGATCAACCGATTGATCTATCGATCGATCGATCGATCGATTGGTTGGTTGGTTGGATTCGATTCCATCAGATTCGATCACCAATCGGACTCCGCTCGGATAAATAAATAAAGGGTCCCTTGTATTTCGAGAGAAACATCGTGAGGTACCATAACGAGTTTTCATGCAACATTAGCTACATCCAATTGTACAACTCGATATTTGTTAACCATCGTCCCTACGGAAATTTCATTTTATTTTTCAAACAGACAGGAGTAATGTTATTCGATTTATTGTGATCTTTGAACAGTGTATATTATATCTTTGCTTATTAGTACTCTTGTTTTAATGAGTTCCCCGTTCTTACTTGAGTAATAAACATAATTCGTTCTAACTGTCATTACATGTAAAGTTATTATAGCAAGAAACAGTATAAATGGGTTACACTTGTCGTAGGGAAATCATTACGTTAAAATTGTACACATCTAATACGTTTCGGGTAATATTATTATTATCTTGTATTAATTATTCGTGAATTATCTTATTAATTAACGTCAATATTGACGTTAGTATTGATTTATCTGTAATGTTCGTGGGACGACAAAAATTAAATTGAAAAATTAAAAGGGGAAGAAAAAAACGATCAAATTGAAAAAGCAAGTCGTATAAATTACACTTCGCGATTATGCAATTTCACGGTACTCGTACGTATAAATTATAACGTGCAAGATACGAACGATAACCCTCGCGTTCTTGATCTACGATCGGTGACAAGCGAGATTTCAAACGCTGTTAAGAATTTTATGAGACTAATTTATCACAATCGATTTTTTTTTTACAGATATCCTTTCAAGTTACTCCTACAAGCGTTGCAATGAAGAAATTCTTTGCGTCATACTTCGAATCCCGATACCGAAATAACGTTACCGTATTAACAATTAAAGTTAAAACTAATTGATGTTCGAAGAAGACGTAACTAAAATAATTGACGAGACGTTAATTGTTTTTGCAAAGAAAAAAAAAGAAAATGATTAATATGTCGTAAACATGCACAAAGTATAGATAACTATCTGTTTGTTTATCTTAATAACATCCATACGAAATAGACATAGTAATTAATGATAGAATTATTTGCAATTGCGTGTATTGACCGATTTAAGAATTCGAATAAATATATAGAAAATATGATGAAGTAATGTTAACTAACGTTAATTTAAAATCGTAGAAAAAGAAAAACACTTAAAACGAGCCTTAGAATTTTTCATTTGTCGAAGTTAGATACTACATACAACAAGATCTATTTTCAAATAATTGCCATATCGATCCGACAATATTTTCATAACCGGTATTCACATAATTAAAGATTTACCGTACTGTCAATACACTAGTACGATAAATTAGATGGCCTTAAACCGGTTGGTTGGTAATATTCTAAGGATATAGAAGAGAAGATACGTCAGATGTCGATTCGCCCTTTCGATTAACCAATTTACCGCACGATCACGGACCTTCCAATGAGATTTGAACTTTCAGATGATCGCTTCTTTCCTTGATAAGAAATAAGAATAGGAAATGTTCTTACACGAATCGATACGATTCGAAGTAATCGACTGATCTCGAGGTCGGGAACTCGCTGAACATGGCCAACAGATTTCTGATCGATCTCGATAATATTGAGAGAAGCTGTAGTCTACTCTCTTTCTCTCTTCCCCCTCTCTCCCCCCCCCCCCTCTCTCTCTCTCTCTTTTTATTCCTTTATACGAACACGATCGTATACCGATCGTGACTTCCATTATCGACATAGCTAACCTACAAAACTAAGCGCCCGTAGTCCCATGTCCTCGTAGCAGAACGTCTTGCATAGCAGAATTATCGCATTACAGACCGCACTCGACCGTAAAACGTTAATATTTGATAAAATTTAACTTCGTTCGTTCCTTCAGGCTTAAGTCGTTCAACGTTCTCGTTTCGCATGTAAGCAAAGCATAAATGCTTACGGAATAAGTTTTCATAGTGTTTCTTTGGAAAAGAAGCGTAACCGGCCGTAGCTTGACCTTGACAGTGAAACGGAGATGTCGGACAACGATTCGATTATGCTTCTTTATCTTATTATAACCATTCAATCGCTTCGTGCAAATCCGAATACCTCTTCCGAGAGGCAACAACATTTTTTCAATTATTGATGCATCAAATAAGTAATTTGTTGAGCGTATACAAATTATACAACAACAACAACAAAAAAGAATTATATATGAATTGCTTCTTTCGTCTTTTTCATTCGTTTTTTATTACTGTAGATATCTTCTAAACTTCGAACATTTATTAAAATAATCGAATCTTTGATAACGTAAATACTTTCGTCAAAATTCATTCTAAGAATAATTCTAATAGTTGGATTTAATTGTGTCACATGATTATTTCCGTTTTTATAATCTTATCTATTTCGTATATCTCGATTAACGAGTCTCTCTCTCTCTCAAAAAGTAGAAGAAGAAGAAGAAGAAGAAGAAAGAGTTTCCTGTCAAGTAAGCATCAACTTGGCAAGAAAATTTTCTAATAACGAGAGATTCTTAGAACTCACTTATAGGAAGTATCTTCGTAAGTCAAGCGTAATTAAAGTAGTCGCGATCCTTCTGACTACTTACAATCGTATAAGACTCGCGCTTATAGTTGGAACGGACTAGGCAAAGGTACCGTTTGAAAATTCCACGATGGAAACTCCGAAGGCGGTCTCTTCTGGTCGCCTTCCATCCGTTCGAATGAGAATAAGAGGAACTTCAAACGTAACATTCATCATCGATTCTTTCTGCAAAGAGTCGAGGGAGTCCACGCGAAATCGATTCATCCGCCACGTCTCGGCAAGTACATCGTCTTTAAATCAACCGTTAAGCGTGGAATTGCACACGAACAGACAAACGTAATCGTACAAATAAAAATATAAAACAACTGTTACGAACGAAGCAAGAAGTTCGATTAAATATCTCGGCTATCGATCTATCTATCGATCGATCGATAGATAGATAGATTCTCTCCTTCGACCTGCTCGCTATTTTATTATTATTTCTTTTTTTTTTTTCTCTTACGTTATATCTTTTACAAAAGTATTTTCTATTCGAGAGAATCTGATTTTTCTATTAATTTTTTATTTTAATCGCGCGATTTATCGATATAAGCTCGAAAAGAGAAAACAAGAAATAATTCTACTTAAGATAACGGGTCATCGATAGCTATTAAATCCTATTAACATTTGACACATGATAAACATATCTTAATAAGTTACTTATTTAGTTTTTAACACGTGAATTAAATCAAAAGGAAAAGGGATAAAGAAATATTTGAATTTATTCCTTCTTATCTTATTTAGCCTGACAAAAATGTTAATGAGATTTCAAAGTAATGCAAATGAGTTTAACGAAAGTTCTTCAACTGAGACCGACCGTGTTTCTGTTTCTGTTTCAGCGAGTCGGACATGGCGCCAAATGCAGAGGAAGAGTTGCTTGTGGTGAAGCCCTGGGGACCGCAAACAGAAAAGGTAAGAGAACTTCAAGGATTTCCACGCTATTTTACGTCTGCGAAGCACTTCTTTATTAAAACCGTTACGCGTACGTGAGCTCGAATTTATGCGATTAAATTATATCAAATTATGCTTGGTATTTCATTTCTAATTGTAACACCAAGCCTAGTTTTTGTTTTTTTTTTCTATTAACATTAATTATTTTATTTAAAACATAAAGTAATCAACATTACTTCATTGTAAAAATGTGTGTGTTTGCATTTATGAAAATATTTTGATTAATTTATTATACCAATATAAAATATATTATTTCTTCTAATATTTTCATTAATACGGATTTTCCAAGCGAATAATCAAACGGTTTAAATATTTTCAAAAACGTCAAATCACTTTAGTTCACGTATGGGTAACCAAGGAGAAAAAGAATTAAGTTTGATAGCACACAAAACGTTTGTTCCACGCACGGTGTCCCGACGTGACAGGATATTTTAAATTAACATACTTCTCTCTTTTTCTCTATCTCTTATTTCTTTTTTTCTTTTTCTACTTTAAGACGTATATATATATATATATATATATATATATATATATATATATAGAAAGAGATAAAGAGAAAATCCGCACGGTAGAACGTCCTTCGGTCACTTCCTTTTATTCCTTTCAATACACCGTGAGAATTCCATTACGAGAAGGACTCGGACTCGACGTACGACGACAACATGGAAAGTGACGATAAGAGACCGAAAAAAAGAATAACTACAAAAATTCTGATCCAACTGTGTATACACCAAAAGAAAATAAAAAAAGAAAAATCATATATTTTCCGTTAATTTGTAATAATATATAATAATATTCTTTTTCAAGAAACCTTATTTTTTTTAACATCCTTTTAATTAGCTTTCATTTGAGAATTTAACTTAATGAATAAACTGCTACATGAGTATCGAAATGAAGTCATTGCATTTTTGTCGGTCCTATTAGTTATCCTTGACTTTATATTTCTTAATAACAAACATTTAGAGATATGAGATCCAGTTTTTCCCGATTAATGTGTTATGAGTTTGATTAATTCGTCCTCGTTTCAGACAAGTCATTGGGTACGAATGCAATTAATTTCTTTGAAGATAAAGAATCGATAATACTCGCACGATTAATCGTTCTCGATTTATACAAGCGTTGCAAGGAGTAGTAATACTGTGGCCGCCTTATAGTACTTACATCTTACAAAGTATCCTTCATTTATCGTTGAGCCAGATTTCTAATCTATCGATGGAATACTCGACCTAATAAGAATTTGATCGACGATGCGAATCTTAATGGATGATCCTTCATACTAGGACAGCTTGACCGTTGAACTAAGAATAGGTTAAATCATTCTCTGATTTGAATATTACGTTTCGTAGAACCATTGAAAATTTTTACGAGATATTTTTTAACGTCATCTTCTTTTTTTCTTTCTTTCTTTCAAACTAACTTACGAGATTATCTTTAAAATATTTTTCCTGTCTTATTTATAAATAACTTGATCGAGAGCAACTATACAGTTTATTTTATTTTTTACCTTTATATATATATATATATATATATACACCAAGGAAGATTCATGAAACTTGGACATTGTGGTCGCATCCAGCGTGTGAGGTGGTTCTCGTGCGACGGGAAAGAAACGGTCGACCGCAAATAAGAAATCAAAGTGTATACCTACTTTGCAGAGACTACGTTTCCTGTCTTGTCCTTCTTCCCGCGTTAGTCTCGTAATTTTCGAAACTATGTAAAGGGGGATATATTACGTTACATACTTATTTGCCTTTAGTTATTTCAATTTACTCATGCACATGCGATCCTTTAAAAACTAAAAGTATGTGGAAACTAGAACTACTGTCTGTTACCACGGTTTTTTGATTATTATTATTATTATTATTGTTATTCAATTGAATAGTAGTGAACGAAAATGGTACGAAAAAAAACTGTAATAAATTGACAAGAATATTCGGGTGATTTGATAGAAGTTTATAATTAAAAATAGAAAAAATAAATTAAAATAAAAAGCTTTTTCGAGTATAGTACAATAACTCGAACGATCTTTTAATCGACTTAATAGCAAACATTGAACGCCGATATATCGACGAGTTGTTGGTTCCCGCGAAATTGCTATGTAATCTTCTCATTAGTTGCTCCGGCTTTACTTCGTGTTTTCCACGGACCAGCGAATCCTTGCTGAATCCAGGAGGATTGATTTCCTCTATTGCCTTTCGTCTTACCGATTAAGTTGAATAGAAATAAAGAGAGAGTGAGAGGGAGAGAGAGAGAAAAATAAAAAGATCAAATAAAAGCAAAGAAAAAAAAAAAAAAAAAGAAAAAAACTGTAGAAAGAAAAAGTAAAAATAGTAGAAGAAGCTTCGGTAGCACCTTGATGCACTCGATTCGTGTTCGGATCACGGGGAAACGCGATAATCACTATAATCCCATCGATTTATGCTTCGAAGCGCCGTAAAATTAGCCGTCGCTCTCCTCCCGATTGCCTCGGAGCCTTTTCGCATGAATATTTCATAGTTCGATGCGCCTGTAATTCGCGCGTACGCGAACTCGCGGACTAATTTAGAAATATTTTTATAATGGCCATTGCGACGGATTTTCAAGGACGAATAACGGAGTTTGTAAATTATATCGAGAAAGATCTATCGTAAATTATTCGTATTAACGAGTTCTAGAAAGAAGACTGTTATAATGCAAACAAAAAAAAGTAAATTCGATTTATGCAGAACATTTTTTTGTGCAAGAATATATAATAGTTTTCCTTGGTGTCCTGTAAATCTATTCTTACAGAAACGTTTATGTCAACTCTGCGGTGGACAAAATAAAAGTGACGATAGTCGATATAATAGCAATTGAAATCTTTTTCTTTCTATTACATCTATAAAGTAAGTAAATAATTCATAAGAAAGGCACGTGAGTCAGGGAACTCGGTATATTCTAGATAGAAAAAGGTATCTCAACTATACTAGCAATATCATCGAAAGACACTCCAGTCACGCATCGCTCGAACGATCACCGACCAAAGAAAATCGATCGACTAACAATTTGTCCATCAATGTCCGCGAACTTTCAGCTTTTTCAACTAATATGATTCGAAAATTCAAATAGAAATACTTCCAGGAATATTTTATCTTTTTTTATATATATATATATAAGATACACATGGGGTGAATTGTCAACACATATCAAATACGTCGGTGAAAGACTGAATATTTAGGTTTATTCTTATACATTAATATTTCGGACATACACAAAACGACCACGTGAATTTTGACATTTTCCAATTTTAATCTTTCACGTATCAGACATTTTGTTGAATTTTTATTATCCTTCTCAAGTAGATGTACTGTTTATGAAATTTTTGAAACGCGAAGACTATAGTTTTAAATTACATCTTTTTTGTTCTTTATCAAGGAACCTGGGTTGAGACCACCAACGTACAACGCCGAAGATTATGCGATCGCATTGAGACGATGGGGAAGACGACCTTTGAGCACTATTCAGGATTCACAAGATACCTTGCCTTCTACCACCAGCTCAAGTTCCGGCTATATTTCCGGAAGTGCAGGCGAAATGACGCTAAGACAATTTACATCCGTTAGCGAACTGTTAAACAAACTTAGAGCTGATCTTAGGCTTGCATTTCCAAGGTTAGTATCATCGATTTAACTTTATGAAATGTTAATAGTTAGTAATTTTATTATTACCGTGTAATAATTTCCTTTACTTTTTGTCTGAGAACAAAGAAAAAAAAAAGGAATTATCTTACGATCCTGCTAAACGTAAGAAATTATAAGTATTAACGTAATTTAATTAGTAACACGGAAGTATCTTCTAGATAATTGACTAAAACTCATACGAATAATGATTTAAAACGCAAATTGCCTTTTCTAATGCCGAAGAAATTATATAGGTTATCTAACCGATCTATTAACAAAGCTGGTAATCTATCATAACAAATAATTATCTTTACTGTCTATATTAAAATCGCATCGTATTATAAATTTGCACGAATATAAATGAAATTAAACTTTCATTCGAAATGTTAGAATATTTGCAATCGATCCAAAAATATATTTTTTTCATCATCGTTAAATTAGATCTTCACAAACTCTACATTTTTATATATATATATATATATATAAAAAGAAACAAAGATATTAATTCATTTAAAAAATTAAATTTGACTTTAAAGTTTCTTCAACCGGTGGATCTCCAAAAAAAAAAGAAAATATATTATCACTTCGTACCAGACAACATTTGTAATATAATAATTTGTTTATATTTTATTATCAAAAATTTAAAAAAAACAAAACCAACCTTGCGCGTATCGAAATACTCTTATAGTAGCTTTTCATACACACAATCACGAGCGAGGGTTATTTTAATTTCACAACAAAGTCAACAACGATGACATACATAATGCAAACTAACAAACATAAAAAAGAAAAGAAAAAAAAACCATTCTAATGCATGACCGATCGAAAAATCGTCGAAGAGGAACGAGCGAGGTCCGTTAGGCGAAGAAATGATTAATAAAGACGATGCTATTACATCGTCCTGTATGTATATACATTATTTTTTGTTCATTCCTTTTCTATTGAGAAGCATGTCTAGCCTGTGGCATTTAAGAGAATAAAGAAAGAGAAAAGAGATAAAGATAAAGAGAAAGAGGTATGACTCGTGCGCGGCGTCAGGTGTGAGAGAGAAGGAGGAGGAGAAGGAGGAGGAGGAGGAGCAGGAGGAAGAGGAGTGATAGAGAAAGAGAAAAGATCCTAGAGAATCCTTGGTCTTGTCGTTGACGTGCGAGCAACTGGACGCGTGGCCAATGTCCCACATAAACAAACGATAATAATAATAATACTAATAAGAATAATAATAATAATAACTATAGAAAATATACTCAGTTCGTCGATGCGAATAAGATAAGACTCTTTTACCGAATAGATCGTGGATAAGCAAGCGACGATATTACGGTTAACTGCTCAACGGGAGCATAGTAGTAAAGATTGTATACTGTGAATCGATGATCTCGAACGAGTCGCATCCTTGATACGATCTCTTGCATATACGGAGAAATCCGTGACTTCATTCAAGGATCACGTTGTAATTTATAGAAGAGAGTCAGTCAGTCAGTCTAAGGTGCGGCACATGTTCGAGAATTTACATTATTTTTCTTTTGTTTTTATTTCTAAACTCCCACCATCCTATTTTCTTTGGATTATAAATACTTGTATTATATATATATATAATACTCTAAGTATATATATATATTCATGAATGCATGCATGCGTATATGTATTTATATGTCGTATCTAAACTGGTAATTTGACGTCGAAAAACGTGTTCTCTCGTCACGGTACCCGAACAGGATCTTTCCCGCTTTCCTTTATTCGTTAACGAAGGATTCGTCGGTTCATTATCGGAATAAGAAACGTACATTATACGTATGTATATACAGTATACTATATATATCTATATAAATCTATGAACAAGCGATCTTACCGTGGATATATTTAATTCCGTATACTTCTTCCGTGTTAATTGTCTGCCCCAACGTAACAACTACTAATACATTTCTCCTCCTCTATACTTGACTTTACAACTTCTACCAAGGATTATCAATAATCTTTTATTTTATACATTTATTTTCAATTCTATTATTATTATCATTGTGGAATATATGCAAACGAATATTTGATTAATTGACGTGATACCGATATACCTTAATACTTTCTATCACATTTTATAATAATAAATAGAGAGACATTTGTTTTAATTCGTGTAAATAATTGAATAAAGTTTAATGAATTATTATTTTCTGTTTTTTTTTTGTTTTAAATTGTAAAAACGTAACTAACGTACAAACACACGTTTCTATGCGTCTACACGTACGCAACTATCAACGAAGAGGATGAATAAGAAGATGAAGAGGAAAAGGGAGAAGAAGAAGAAGAAGAAGAAGAAGAGGTGGAAGAGTTGGGTGGGGGAGGGGGAGGGGGAGGAGAAGGAATAAGAAGTGGATAGAGGATAGCTCGTCGACCGGGCACCGAACCCGTGATACACACTGCGATGCTTCCGCTTCGCGTAACAGCGAACGCATAACCGCTTCCTAGTTTAATGAAAAAGAAACGGGAAAATCCGCGTGGTTTTCCACGCGATCTTCAATCCATTTTCTTCTTTCATCTACAACTGAAACTTTGTTTCTGATCGCGTGTAGTTAAGATGGAAAATAGCCGGTTACTTTCCTTCGTGATTTTCTCACTAACGTATGTGTGTAAACACGTTACTTATTAGAAATATAATAATCAATTATACAAATCAAATAAAAAAAATTACGTAATCGAATAATAATGTGTAGAATTAAAAAAAAACAACTCCCTATTCTTATATTTTTTCTATTACGTTTTCATTATATTATTAGGTTTATCTCTTTTCTATCTTTGTTTTTTTTTTCTGTCAACAAATATTGCAATTACAATTTTTCTTCTAACTCTTTATAAAAATTATACGAGATATTTAATAATAAAAAATATCATATCAAAGAGTTTGTCGAAAACTATTATTTAAGAAAACATTGGAAAATAGATTATATAATTTTTAAAATGAATGTATCGACTCGACTGTCGCCATTATTTCTCAATAATAACAAAAAATTTAACGAGAAATCGAAAATGAAACGCATTTTAAATATACGAGTAAAATTACGAACGATTAATTGTACAAAAAGAAAGAAGGATGCGTACTTACGAAGGTATATATATATCGTGTAAGACTAAAAATATTTTTCTTGATCAAAATCAAAGACAATTGCCGATTCTTACCAATTTTGTTAACGTCCTTGCACGGAAATGAATTTTTTGAAACTGTAACAAACAGACACAGTCGAATAATTATTTTAATGCCGTATTTAATCTCTAATTATCTATATAATGTTAAAGCTTTCAGTTTGTAAAAGTCACAAATTTACTTTCATATATTTTTATATAAATTGTGTTAAGTAACTGATGATACAAGCAAACAGAGGATAATTCTGCATGAAAAGCTAATTGTAAATTAAAAATATAGAATAAAAATTTCTTCATACAATACTTTGTTTTTGAAAAAAATGAATTTGAAAATTTATTATGAGAATTATTCTTATCTTCTCGCTTATACCACCAGTTACAGGACACCCTGTATAAGATTCCGAATATAAGATACACATAAAGTGAGATTTAATCCAAAATTTAATCTATCATAAATCATATATGCTTATATATATATATATATATATAAATATAACGATATGCAAGATTAATAATAAGATATAACGATTTGAAATAAAAATTTGTCTTATTGTTAGAGAAAAATGGAAAAAGAAAGAAAAAAGAAAAAAAAATCAGGATGAATAAGAGAAATAACATAATAGAATAGTATTTACATGGTAAAAGGGAAAAGATAGCAACTTCCTTTCGTTTTCTTTCTTCATTCAAAGACATCGTGGATCGTTGTCACATGAATTTTAGGGTGTGTCCATCTCTTGAAAGAAGTAATAAGGGCTGATCGGTATTCACAACGCGTTCGCCACAAGACATTCTTACGTGCACTTCGTAGTCTGCATAATGCAGGACGCAGTATAATGCACCCATTGCCAGACGGAAACTCGCGCGACACGTTCCGCGTCGCGGGGAAGGCATACTTTTCGATAAACGGCCACTCGTTCTCCTTGGAACGAATGCTTTCTTTGTTCCTCACCGACGTCGCATAGAATAATAAACCGTCCTCCACTTCATTCGCCTTTCGTGCTCTCACGAAAGACATTTAGAAAACAAAAAAAAAGCAATCTGAAAGGTTATGATTTTTTAGAAAAAAATTTTGAATAATTACATGACAAATTTATGCATTTTAATCAATGGTAATAAATTTAAATCGATTACAGCAAATATACGTGCCTGGCAATTATGACATTGGATTAATTGAACAAATTTATTAATTTTTAAATAAATCGTATATATAATGTTTGTATATTAAAATTATTTATTATACATTGTAAAATATAATTGATATATAATCCATTGTTATAATTACAGGACAATATATTATATCAAATCATGGTCGATTCAATTGTGATTAAATATCAATTTCGATTTTGTTTCGCATTCCTATTGAACTCAAATGTGCATTTGTAATTGATAACAGTTATCATTGACAAAGGTAATAAAAAAGAAATATAAGGAAGAAGATCGGATATCCAAGCCTTGAATCCTGAGGCGTCGGAATATTTTGTACGTATAGTCGAGGTATCACGACACCTCGACCATTATGCATAATAAGCGGGGGTAACATAATGCGGCCATTGTTAGAAAAGGGAAGAACGGTCTTTCTGTGTGTATCGGTTTATCTCGTTGTGTGCCACTAAATACGAGTTGAGCTCCTCAGGAACAAGTTATACACGGCCCGTTTAATACTCATTTGCATGCATTCTATTGTACAACGGCGCTTATACGCTATATTTATGCAGTCCTCGTATATACATAGAAAGACGAACAAACTTTCAATTCCAATTTACATATATGTGTTCATGTTATATTATTTAGAAGAAGAAGTAAATAGTTAGTCCTTTCGTTTCCATTTAAACTTATTTTTATTCATTTTTTATAAATACTCTTCGCGATTATTTTATAAATATAAGATGACATTTTTAAATTAATGCGATCTCGTTAATTCTCATTTTTTATTAATACGTTCGTTATCAAACGTCACGTATATTGTGACGTAAAGTTTATCAAATAAATAATATATCTATAGTCCGATGTTACTTATATGTGATATTTACATAGAATACTTTTTTTTTTATTAACCCTTTACACTCGGGACTTAATTTCGTTCTTTATTGACGAAAAATCAAACTCATCTTCACTTGAATTGATTGTTATTTTACGACAGATAGCTTAATACACAATTACAAGTAACCACGGTTTGTAGCAGTTTTTTCAACTAGACCGTGATAGCGAATCGCGTTAAGATAAAAAGGTGATTACTGAAAAAGCCATTGAACGAAGAAATTGTTTCTTTTTTTTTTAATCTTATTCTTAACTAACTGAAAAAAAAAACCCCAGAAAATATCGTCAGACTGTTATAAACAAAAGAAAATCGAAGATAGGGGCGATCGTTAAACGACGAGTTTAACTCTTCCTGCTTCTTCGAAGATCTTGTCGGACGAGAGGAGTTAATGAAGCTATTGTCCGCGACGTCCGTTCGTCGGACGAACGCGACGAGTAATTGGCAAAAGATATCGGCAAACAGCCAGCCCTTCTCATCTTCCTCATTCTTCCCCCTCTTTCTTCTCTTTTTTTTTTTTCTTTTTTCTTTTTTTTTGTTCTTTTCTTCTACTCTTGACTCTTCTTCTTCCTCTTGCCATCTTGTTAGCCGAAAAAACTCACGGCTCGATTCTTGACAGCTCTTGATCTATGGTTCCTACGTATTACCGTTTCTGTCCTGCTCTTATTTCCTCGATCTTTCCTCAACACGTCAACAACAACCACTTGGGGTCTTTCGACTCATGCTCAAACTTGCACAACATTTCTTCCTACCATAAATGGCTAACCGAAAACGTACGAATTCTGGCTTCTCGTTGTTCCATCTTGTTCGACCCACGTTCTCTCGAAGACATGTAAAAGCCTTCCTCTCGTTTGCTTACCAAAACTGGTAGACAATCATTTTGCAATCGTCTCATTTTTATTTATGTTTAATATTTTATTATTTGAGTTAATAATATGAAGATATGGTTTTTTTTTCTCCATTTTTCTATACCATGCGAATATTCTATTCGTTTGTTATTTATAGTATAATAATGCAACAAGTACGATATGTGAAAGTTGAAATTTATTCGTAATCCTGTCGTCGACTCATCGTTTTTATATGGATTAGATAGCAAACGAATTTGTTAATGTATTTCATATCTGTTCCTTTTACTTTGATTTCGAAAGATAATTTGTAAATGGACTTTTGTTATATACTTGTTATTCAGAAAGCTTGTAGATTTAGATCGTAAGAACGTAAATTATTGACTTAAGATAACGAGTATTAAATCGACGATTACTAAACATCAACTTACTAGAAACGATCATTACAAAATTCAAGGGAATAGACAAACATCCTGTCGTAATTGTTTCAACATGAATATTCGAGAGAAATCGTTCGAACGTCAGCAACCAAATACATTGACAGATTGGATTGTCAAAAGCAAATTATTAAATGTACGAACGCATAAGCGATCATCCAAATATGAACGTCGGAGTGTTGGTTTTCGTAGATATAACCTTGAGAAAGTAGCAGCCCTTTTATTTTATTCGTTGAGTTGAAATTAATAATAATTAACTCTAGCTGTCGACGAGCTCGTCAAGACCAAGTTCTCCGGTAAAGTGACAAACAATTTTATTGTACGTTCCATTCTCACGGTGAATTCTCAGTAAAGAAATTCTTTAAAGTTGACTAAAACGTAACTGCGACGAAGAAGCGGAGTGAGTTTGCTTCCACCTTTTCCCGCGAGCCGTTACGTCGAGTATTAATGGGTGCAATTAAGAAAACGACTTAGGAACCTAAAGAAAAAAGACCAACGCGAATTATGTTTACGGGAATTTATCTTAGGATCATGGAAAAACGGAACATCCTTTAACGCGAGAATAAATTTTAAAATTCATCGAATGTCTTCATATTTATAACCATTAACGTCGGATTCATTTAAGATTTGTTTTTATCTTAAATTAGATTACTTCAGAAATAGGTATTAGCGAAGCGACATTTACGATTGGAAAAAAAGATAATCTCATTTTTATGACATAAGCGATAAAACGCTTCTATTTTATCGATCTTGAAAAATACATATTGTATTTATGTAATAGAATTAACGGCACGAAATGGGATCATTTTAACGTTCGCATATCGAGATTTAATCGATCATAAATTGATATAAGTTTTAATTATACCACAGTGTATATCACTTTTTTTTATTTGAAGTTATAATAGAAAAGTAATTATGAATTGAAACTGTTAGATCAATAAACATCGTCTAGGTAATGAAATGATCTTCGAGAAGATGTTGAAGACATTTTCGGAGAAAAACGTTTAAATCCTTAGACGATTTCTGTTACCCCCGTTTGGGTAAGGTAATATACTGAAATTACGGGTGTCAGGATAATTAGTTAGGAATAAATGATCGGTAATTTTGTATCCTTGGGTAACACCTGTGATGGTGGTATCCCTTCTTGGTACCTCTCGAACTCTTCTTCCATAGACCGTGTTGACTTGTCACCGTGCGACAGCTGCATCGAGCGTTTCCTCTTCGTCCTTGCACCTGTCTCCCCTAGGGCCATTACGCACGAACGTGCAGCTTGCGGACGTCCGTAGAGGGAAATCACTTCGTACTCCTCTTCTTCTTCTTTTTCATCTGCTTTTTCCTCTTCATCATCGTTCTCTTGTATTCTTCTAACGTTCTTCTAAAGATCGCCAGGATGATTCATACGCTTCCTCGGGTACCATGTTGTGTTCGAATAGAAACAAAGAAAATAATACAAATAAATAACGACAAGAGAGAAACGAAACTCGAGCATAAACCTTAGGAAAAGAAATTGCAATCGCAGTGACGTTATTGGCAAGCGTTGGTTAGAAGAGGGAGAGAGAGTAAATAAAGAAAAAAAGAGAGACAGAGAGAGAGTAGAATAGAAAGGTAACAAACACGAAAGTATATTATTTATTTCGACTTCTATTTGCCGATCGTCCGCGCCATTAAGTCGTAGAATTTATCGTTCTTTTAATCTGCGCCTATATTTTACAATGGCCGATATTATCGAGAGGAAAAACGTATTGCCACGTTACGAGATATTTCAAAGGTTCTCCACGGGTTGCAAGGATTTTCTACGTTAATCCTGTTGCCTTCTTCTCCTCTCTCTCTCTCTCTCTCTCTCTCTCCCTCTGTCTCTTTTTCTCCCTTCACTACTTTATTTTTGTTGTTGTTAGCGAACGAAACAGCCACCCTTTCCCTCTCCCGCTCCCGCCAATCCTCTCCCGGTGACAAACCGATCGCATAAAATAGCTTGCCATAAACTTCATTTGCATAAGCCGGCTTGTCGCTGTGCACGAACCAAGTCTCCATAGTCACAAACGAGGTATATGAACGAATGATGCTTGAAAAAAGAAAAAATGTAAAAAAAAAAAGAAAAAATGTAAAAAAAAAAAGAAACAAATGCAAAAGATATTTCGGTGAAGATAATCCCTGTCAGTGCGTGACAATATAAATATCATATTCTTACTTTGACGCGTTTGAGAAAAAATAAGAAAAAGAAGTATTTAAAAAACAAACAAAAAATAAAGAATGTGATATGTTAATCAAAAAGGAAATAATCTGTCTCATTGTCAAAATCTCTCAATAAACTATTGTTCAAATATAAAATAATATAATATATCGTTCGTGTATTTCGATTTTCAGTTTCGTTCAAGAATTTGCCTCGCCACCGGCAGATGGGATAACTTTGTTATTGGAGACTCTCCGTGGAGTACAGCTGGCTCAAAGTTCACCGCCAACATCCGGACAGGTCGGGCCAAGGGTCGGTACCAGAAGGGCTGCTTTAGATGAGTTGGGATGCGTGGAGTGTTTGGCCGCCTGCGGTGAAAGATGCGCTGATGCACCGCGGCTACTGGTGCAAGCTCAACCTGGACTTCTTGCTCTGGCGGTCTGTCTGACGAGCAGTCTGAACCGGTCTCGAGTTCTGGCTCTTCAGGTAACAATCGTACCCACCATCTTTTGCGCTCCTACTCGAGGCTTACCGTTATTTTAAAAACAGCTGGCCGACGCGATAATCTCTTACAAACGCGAGAGCCTCTATCCACGTAAACATGCCTTTGAATGATCCTTAATCCTAGAAAAATAAAAATTAAAATCGAGTGCTCAATCATTTCACACTTAACGTTCTACCTTGGTGATCTCTCTTATCCCACTTGTTGCTTATTCTTCGAATTGAAAGAGGATTTCTCGTTAGGAATCAAAATATCCTTATTCGAAAATACACATTTTACCGTTAACATACTTTCTGTCGTAATTTCATATATAATTTATCGCAATTAATTCGGAATTTTGTTTACGCTTGTTAATGCTCAATCAAAAACCAACCGTAGGTATATATTACATTTATCCTCATTTCTTAAACCTATAATCTTAGGAACAGATTAACCATTCATCGTGAACACAGCTACGTTACATGGATATATTTCGGTAGAATAAGAAAAGAATTTGTTTGAACGTTATAAGGATCCAGATAATTCGTTGAACTCGTATGAAGAAGCTATTACAGAATGGGAACAAGCTTTTTTATTCGGTATAAATTTAATTCCATCCAATTAAAATCATCCTCGATTAATCTATTTTTCACTTGACCCATTGAGCCGCTCGTAAACACGAATTTTAGGTAACGAAAGGAACCCTTTTACTCGATCGAACTCCGTTATTTGAAGAATATATACCTTCAACGGCAAAACCAGTTTTTATCATTTCCACCGCCAAACGTTATTCGGTCGAACGCAACGGTTTCATTTGCAAGCGTTTATACAACCGTCGACCGTGTCTTCTCTTCTTCTTTTTCTTTATTTTCTTATATACCACACTGCGTATCTTTACTTCAGGAAGTACCTACGTACTCGTTAACCATGGCCAAGCGGAGCATTCCAGTGCTTATCACAAATTAACTAAATGAAGCAAGTAATCGTTCGTGCGACAGGTTTCTAATCACTTGTTAAAGGATACAGAGTAGTTGTGATTAGAATATATAAGATCAGCGATAATAAAAATAAAGATGGACAGAAATATTGTAATAACTGCACTTTAGAGTTTGGTATATTAAAAATAAATTACCGAAAAATATATATATATATATTTAAAAGACTTTCAATGGTTGTAAAAAATAATCGTATAAAATGTAGTAATTGAAACTAACGTTTATTTGATAACTTAAGATATTTATAGTTTATCGAGAAAAAGAGGAAAGAAATTAATCGAATTTACAGTTGCTGACGAAGGTATGTCAGACTGCAGGTGGACACGCCGCAGTTTCCGAAGCTGTTTCCACGTTGAGGCTAAAATACGGCGAAGGTGGAAGGTTCAGATTTTTGGCTGGCGCACTTCTAGCTCCCAGAGCTGCCATCGCTCTGAGAGTGGCAGGAGTATCCTTCTTAAATGCCTTTTTAAAATCAGCACCTCGTACGCAAACGAGATTATACATTCAGGTAAGAATAATCAAATGTTTGTTCATAGAAACTGAAAAACGAACGAACAACGTGCGATAAATCATTAAACATTAATAGATAACAGTTTGTGGAAAAAATGATATTTGTTTATCTTCATTAAACATATATTTTCATTGACTGATAAAATGTACATATTTAAATGAAAATCATTTTGTAGGCGGAGGCCTGCGAAGCTGGACTAGAGCCGCAGGTACTCCAAGAATGGTTGAGAGAATCCGACGGTCGAGAGGAAGATACATTGACTGATCTTTTACGAAAGGAAGTCCAAAAATGGGCACAAAATTGTGTCGATGTGGATGCCCTTCAACGAAGGGTTCTACGTGCCGAAGAGACTTGTAGAATTTTAAGCAAGAAGGTCTCTGCTTTACAAAATCAACTCGAGAAATTACAAGTAGAAAAGCTCAACAATTACAATGCTGAGAATCGTGATAATATGTCTAGCGGAACGATTCTAGGAATTAATAAGACGCAAAAGGTATCGTCGAATGCGGAAGACGAAGGTATCAGTTCATCAGAAAGATCGAGCAGTCCAGAAGACATAAAGCATCAATCTCAGAACGATCACCAGAAGATCACGGCAATTCAAGACAACGATCAGGAAACGACGATTGATGACGTTATTGAGGAACTTAGGATCATCGTGAAGGATGCCGAGGAAGAATTCAGCGACAAGAATCAAGAAAGATCTACAGAATTAGATTCGAACGATCCTGCTTTCGTAAAAAATTCTCTCTTCAGACCAAATTCAAAACTTTCTTATGATAATTCGGAAGTCTGTTTGTACGAGCAAGTCACAAAACGAGAACAACAAATTGAACGGAAGATATTCAATTCTAATACTGCTTCGAATAATGTCTTGCAAAATTGTCAGGAGAAAGGTGAACAAGTGACTTATTTTGGTAACGATCGTGATTACAGCGATAATTCGAGTGTCACTAGAAGACTAAGCTCGGATGGATCACGAAGGATCTCGAAATCTTCGTTGGAGGGTAGCGTCAAGATAGTCGTCAAGGGACCGGATGTCGAGGATGCTATAGTTCCGACCATTCTTCATCCGCAACCACCGCGAAGAACACCACCGTGTTTATCGGCACTAATGGCGGTGAGACACTGTAATTTTGCCGATCACAATGAACCTTACAACTCTCACGACGAGGAACTCGAGGAGGAAACTTTAGGCGACGGCAGTGATTCTTTGTTAAGTGCTTCTAGATTGAAGTACAACGAGAAAAATCAATCCTATGAGGAACACATCAGAGAGACCGCTGTCGTTGAACATTTTCAAAAGAGATCTACGACTGGTATGTTGTCTAACAACATTGCCGATAAGAGTGGCAAATTCAGGAAAAGTTTCGATGATCTTCATCATTTTGGAAATAATAAAAATAATTTAGAAGGAAAAACCATAAGAAATTATGAACCTTCTATTTCATCTAAAGCACGAGTGCAAGCTGAAAGTGGATCGATTAAACAGGTAGACGCGTATAGACAATATGAAACGTCTTCTAAAGTATTGGATTTCTCAAAGCATCAAACGGATCGTCAATCTTCCGTTCATCGACATGGTTCTAAGTATAAGAGTGAGGTAGAAAAGAGGAAGCTTTTACGACGATCAACCAGTCATGATTATCTGGATTCGAATACGTCGACGCCTCGTTCGAGAAGATCGACAGGAAGTCGAGTGGAATGTCGTATCAGAAAATTCGAAAGCTTAAACTCGTTCGATGAACATCGTAGCCTTCAGAATTACGGAGGACCTGGGAGTACGGATAATCTGAACAAGGAACATCGTTCAATCACAGAAGATTTCTCCAAGTCCAAAATGCGAAGATCTGAATCCTTTCATCACGTATCCCATATCGCTAGAAAAGATCAATGCTCTTCGAGAGGCGGAAGCGACAGTGGTTTGATTTATATTACGGATTATAATCTCGATCCACTCGTAACTCGAAGACCACGTTCTATAGAAGCACCCAAGTCACCCAACTTGCTTACAAAATCGTTGGATAGAATCGACGAAGGCTTAGATTCAATGGTTAATATCGTTATAACGGAAGAGAAGAACGAATGGAATGCAAATAGACATCAACCGAAGTCGAATAACATTCGCAATGATAAACAATCGATAAAAGTTAAATCCAACAAATTGGATAATTCGAAAAGTAATTATGCGGATCGTGAAAAGCAAAAAGCTAGAAGAGAGGAATCAATGGTAAGAAACAAGCATTTATTAAATGATGAATTTTATAATTGTCATATAAATAATAAACAATTAAAGAATGATGAATTGTATGAAGAACAGAAAAATCGCCAATGGAATTATCATAAGGAATTAGAATTAGCAAGGAGGGATACTGAAATTAATTGTGAAACTACACCCATGGGATTATCAAAAACCGAATCCAAACATAATTCATTTGGGCAAAACAAATCTATCGTCAATAGGTTTTCTAATAAATCAAATGATTCTGGTATTTTCGCTGGGCGAACCTATGACACTTTTGGACTTGGCAAAAATCGATTCAATGCAGGAAAGTATTCGGGTGATCAACGCGTTAAAGATAATCCATTGGCAAGACGAAATACAACTTCATCCGTAATTGGTAAACGTGGTAAGGTTACTGATGTTGTTTCAGGTCTATATTGAAACCATAAGATCGATATTTTCATCAAATTTTTTCAAATTTAAGTATCGCTGAGAAAATATTGTTTAATCGACAAAAAGAGACTAATATATTTTTTATACTACTTATTATTAAAATTTGTAATGAACTTAACAAATCCTTGTGCAATATTTACAAATGTTCGCGCGCACGCGCACACACATACACACACACACACACACAGTATCGCTTAGAAATTAATTTATTTTTATAAGCATTACAAAATTATGTGCATTCACATAAGATGATTATGGCGGTGATGGAGGGATCTCTTAAATGCATTGTGCAATATTTTCTTCTCATTGCAATCGCGTGTGCGGGCAGTCATGATATAATTACAACAAAGGCTGTATCTTATGCATATTTAAGCAAAAATGTAAATAACAGCTTGTGAGAAAATATAATATTTGAACATCTCATTTCTATAACTAAACGAGTTTCGAGAATTATATAGAATTCCGCGAAATTATTAAATAGAATGGCCAATAATTTCGTTAATATGCTACTGTAACTTTGCTTTTAATTTATTAAATTTGCATTATTTAATGTAAAGAGGATAAATCTCATAATTATTTGCAATTAATGAAAGAATAACATTATAACTATAATATCAAACACTCTCACGATTTGTATATTCTATAATACTTTCTATACATGTAAGTTGACTTATTTAATATACATTTATTTGAACGTTATAGTGTTCTATTAAGTTTCGTACAAATCATAAATAAGAAGGAGCGGGGCTGTAATTACTTTAATAACAACATAATATATTTCGATACATTACAATTGATCAGTCAAATAATAGGTAAGTAAAAGGGAGATATTAAATAAATCATCTTGCATTTAATTGTTTTAAATAATAAAAAGATTATTCAATGAACAAAGATCAAAAAAAGGTATTTTATCAAAACTCCATTCCCTATGCTGATGATAAATGAAATAATATATTATATATGCAAGTGATACGAGGAACACAATTACTCTTATATTATATTATATAAAATATTTCATATCGATAAAAAAAAGTATAAGCAAATAAATTCATTCGTATACTCAAATATAAATCACAAAAGTAGTTCAAAAAATTTCACGAGATTCTTTTGTTATGTTTATGTTGAATAAGTGCAAAAATCTTTAAAGTTATTGTGCTAAAAAAAAAAAATAATAATTGAAATATATTTGGGTAGAAACAATTATACATTTCAACTAGCCGTAGCATGTAACAATGTGGTTGTAACTTCGCTAAGTTCGTGAGTGGATGATCGATTATTTCTGTGAACAACTCCTAAATTATTTAACAATAATGGCTCATTATTTTTATCCTTAGATAATTCTAATAATTGTCGGGATGACTTATCTAAAAGTATAAAATGCATTCATTACGGCTGATAATTTATAAAAAAGTAATGTATCAAATATGTAATTATTAAAAAATATCAGTTCATAAATCATTAAGTTACCTTGGCTTGTTGATAATAAGTACGAAAGTTCTTCTTGAGTAGAAACATACTGAAATTCTTCACCGCAAGCACCTTTCAATACGGCAACAACATCGGATCGTGGATTAAAGAAATACAGGCTTTGCTTACGATTATTAAATTCGCCGATTAGCGTTGCTATGCCCTAAAATATCGGAAAGAAATTATAGATGCTGTGATCTTATACAATATTTTCTATTTTCTTAGTAACATTTTACCTTAGCAGCTGTAAAATCTGCACCTAGGACATATCTGCAATCAACGACCACAGGCAATTGACTAGAACCTTCTTTTACTCCTGCATCACCAACAGATTGTTTAATAAAATCTACAGCAGGAAAATATAAACTATTTCCTGGAGTAATTAAAAGATACTCCGCACCAGAGTCGGTCTAAAAAATCAAACATACGAACCTATTGATATATCTAACATTTATTGTTTGCTACAATAACAATCGATAAATAACTTTACTCACGGTACACTTATCCACGTGTACAGTTGGTCGCGCAGACGGATATAATAAAAATATCAAATTAGTCCCGACACCCAATAAAATTCCATATTCCACTCCGATGATGAGGCAGAAAAGGAAGGTAACAAACATCGGTATGAGATCTTTCTTGCTAGATTTCCACATGAGCTTCACGACCTCGTACTCGATCATGTATATAACGGCACAAATAATTACTGCAGCTAATGATGCTAAAAAAAGTTAAAATGTAAGTATTGTGATTGTAGTTGATTGACATAAATGACGACTATAAAAACGTATATTATTGAACCTTTTGGAATAAAGTAGAAATATGGAGTGAGAAGACTGAGAGCTAACAAAATCAGTACACCAGTGTAGAGACCACCCATTGGTGTTTTTACGCCGCTAGCATGATTCACCGCGGATCTACTAAAGGATCCTGTAACGGGCATTGCACTGGCGCAGGATCCAAGAAGATTGCAAATCCCCAAGGTAAGGAGCTCCTGCGTGGCATCAATTTTTCCCCCATTGGCGAATGCTTTCGCAATAGCTACATTGCCGAGTACTCCGATAATTGGAACTAATAATATAGACGTTCCTAATTCTGAACACATTTCCATAAAGCCAATGGTACGATTGTTAACGTGAGTTGAAAATGGTGGTGGACCAAATGATGGGAGACCGGATCGTACTTTGCCAGTTAGAATAAAAGGATTATTAGACTCGGACGTGTTCAAATTGTAAGCAATTACTGAACAGATAATGACGATAATAGCGTTTCGTGCTGTTGAAAGCATCCATATTGTTTTAGTCAGTATTCGTTGACAGGTTGATGCTTTTTTTTGATCGGAACATAATTTGATGTCCTTCATTTTCTATAAATAAAATGTAAGCAAATAAATGAACATTCAATAAGAATTAATGAACAAATGTTCTAAAAGATAAGAGTTACCCTAAATGATAACAGAATTATAATACAAGTGAAACTCATCACGGTGTCCCAAGGACTTATCTGATAAATATTTTGAAAGACTTTTATCAAAGTATCTAAGAATCCTACGGATGTGATCCTTAATCCCAAAAGACCTTTTAATTGAGAAGCTACTATGATAACAGATGTTGCCGATGTAAATCCTACTGTCACTGGTACGGATATAAAATCGATTAAGACACCTAGAAAAATGAAATGAGGATGGTATCAAACAAATATCGAATAAATGATTATTCTCTCGTAACAAATCTTCACCTAAATGCAAGCAGGCCATTAGTAGTTGTAAACATCCGGTTAAAAATGCAAGAAGAACAGCAAAATCTGGACTTCTTCCTTGAACATATTCATGGGTCATTAAAGCCATAAGTGCTGTTGGACCGATGGTAATATCTTTACAAGAACCAAATATAACATATACCATAGCACCGATAAAAGCGGAATAGAGCCCATACTGTAAAAAAAATGCAATTGCATACTCTACTGTAAAAACATATAAGAATAAACATTGATTTCAAAATTTACGCAATTATATTCAAGTGAAGTATGTGTACATTCATCTCACGGATCAGCAATTGCAGCAACACAAATCGTTAATAACTTTTTTATCTTTTTATAAAACAGAAATCAATATTCAATGATGATTTACTTGAATTTTACTAATTAAGATAAGAGGATTACCCAGTTTTATGAATAAAAAGAAATCATGATTTATCAAATATAATAATACACGTAATATACATACATTTGTTGATAGTAATATATTCTTAATCTAGCATTTGTTATATAAGTTATATGAAACATATATTACGTTGTTACCAGTATTACTGGATATGGAATGTGTACTATGAATTTAAAAAATATTTAATCAACCCGATTAGAAATTATTTATAATATCAACATAATATCTCGTAAATAAACGCTTTAAATTTCACATACTAGCATATATACAAAGTTTACTCAGTAATTGGATCAGATTATAAATCTGTTCCTTATTTTTAAGTAGACAAAAATTTTAAAGAAAAATTTTGCATTATTTAACAAACTCTGCTATAAAATGAATTTTTGCATGAGTTTATTGAGTGCAGTTACAACTTGTTTCTATCTTCACAAAAAAAAACAAATTTATAATTTGACCCAGTTACGAAATGCATTCTACATAAATATGTAGAATATCAACTTGTCATTGTGAAAATGCATAAAAATTCGAGTTGACGCATAGTCAAAGGGAGAAATTTCATTCGCATCAGTTAGAAAGGCGTAACGAGAAAACACAAAGGATGAAATAGCCATTCTTTCGTACCTGGGGTTCCAAGCCGGCTAAAGTCGCATAAGCTAATCCTTGCGGCATCACAGTGAGCCCAACAGTAACACCGGCGATCGCATCGTTGAAAAATTTTTCCGAATTGTACTTAGGTAACCATTCCAAGATCGGTATCCGTCTTTTCACAAATTTCCGGAAATATCTCCCGCATGATCTCGTTTTAAACTTTCTTTGGACTTCTACTGTATTTTCCGCCATACTACCTTCGAAACAAAATCGTTCATTGTATTAAATAATTCATCTACAATATTTCGCGAAATATTCAAGCTTTAAAATAAATTAAAACAAATATGTATCAATCGTTGGTACAAATGAGAAAAATTAAGAAACATGTTTTTTTCTACAAGCTTTTTCGCAAATTCTTTTGTAAGAATGTACAAGAAATAGTATTTAATCTATGAATATTTTTGGGAATTACGTAAAAAGCGTGCACAAACGAAGTGTATTATCTCTTTGAATAATTGAAACTCTTTACTTGGAATTTGTATTCATCTTTATTCATCAGCAATATAATTTTGCAATTCAGACAAACCTTGAAATATATGCATATGTTTCCCGTTATATAAAGAATCAGAATATGTGTATTGTATAAGAAATATGTGATAGAAAACCACATGCACCTGTGTTTATTGTTATATATATATATATATATATATATATATATATATAATACGAACAATATAGTATATATATACACTATAGAAGATATATTTGGTCGTAATATTTTTTGTTTTTGTTTTAAAGTTTATCGCGATGACGACATACAACTTCATTTCTGCTTTCATTTATTCTAAATTAATCAATCTCGACTGCTTTTTCGAATGCTTTACGGATAAGATACGATAAGAAGTTCCCTTATATGGTGGAAGCAAAAAAACACATTTAATAACTCGATCATTCGAATATCTAATTTTATTTTTGTTCTCTCTCTCTCTCTCTCTCTCTCTCTCTCTCTCTCTCTCTCTCTCTCCGCTCGTTTGTTTTCTGTTTACTTATGATTTTCTCTTTTAATGCTAAAGTCAATGAAACAGATTTTAATAAATCACGAGCAAGGATAATACGCATGAATAAACTAGGAAATTTTACGAATGAAACAACGACGTTCGAATTTATCGAAAAGCAAAGTTCGTAAGGTCGACTTGTAAAAAACGAAAACATTCGAAGAACATGTATGCACGTTGACGGAAGAAAAAAATTCGATGACTAATTTTATATTTATTATTTTGATATATTGTAATATTAATGATTATAACTCGTGAAATTGAAATTGAAATTACAATTTGAGTACGCAACGAGGTTTTGTAACTCTTATCATCAAATGCTTGATAAAATATCAACAACTTATCGTTTCGATAATCTTTTGCACTAACTTTCCGTAATCCCTTGCTAAAGTCGAAAAAGAATAGAATTTCATTAATAAGATATTTTGATCAATAAGTCTTGGTTAGTATTATTTTGTTATCAAATTTCGAACGAATGCATACGTTTTAAATGATTTCAATTCAAAGAATTCCGCATATGTTCGTAATCATCAAGTTTTGGGAATTAGATACTTACGTGACTTTTTACTTAATAATTGGTCAATTATAAAATAATATGTATAATTATTAATCATTATTACAGAACCTCGTCATTATTTTTACTCGAAGACGTCTCTCATTAGGATTTCACTCGAGCATGGAAGCACTCGTTAAAGCAAGCTCATTTTACGAATAAAATTTTATACAATGTTCGAAATAATAATACCATTTTTTAAAAGATAAGCATGTATTTGTATTCAGTATATAATTATTGTTCGTGGTTTTCTATTTTCGTTCAAAAAAACGAATTTGATATATCGAATGACCCTTTTTATTTCTTCCTCCAAAAATAAACTTACGAGTTTTAAGCAGCGATCTAGTAGTAGTCGATGCGTCGATAATTACGAGGCTACGCTATCTTCCGTGCAGATGTATACCAGAGGGAGAAATCTATTTATTCGTGCACCTGCCCTTTCACGTGAATTCATTCAAGAGATTCTACATAACTTTACATATTCGATAACAATTTAAATTCCAAAAAAGCAAATGTGATCTTTAACTTTTTTGTTATTCGCGATTACAAAAAACCGGTAAATATTATTCAAGACGAAATAAATATTTTCGATGCGTAAAATCGGATCCTTAAACTCGAAAGAAATGTGATCCATAAGAACGGTATAATTGATGAGTCGATTGATTTTGCATCACTGAAGTAGCTTGAAATTGTTCAACTACCTCCAATATTTCTCTCTCTCTCTCTCTCTCTCTCTCTCTYTCTCTCTCTCTATCTATCTATCTCTATTTTTCTCTCTATCTCTTTGCACACTAACGGTAAAAGCTTGTTGAAAAAAAAAACGCTCGTATCGGGAACGCTATACCGCGTGTCACTCACTGAAAGTTATCCGGGGCTAGTTGATCGTTTATATAGTAACGCGAAGGAGAGAAGCGAAACTCGCGTATGGACGAAGGAAAAGTTGGCTATCAACCTTCCTCGCTTTTTAAGCCTTACGTTAATACACAATGAATGAACGTGAGAGGGTACGCCTCCTGGGAGTACGATTACGTGCAAAAGTATTAGGACAAGTAAATCCGTATAAATAGTCAGCTCGTGTTAGTCCCAGTTGAACATTACGTATTTCTTTCTGTGTATGTTAAACTAGATATGTGTATTACTATGTATATATATATATATATATATATATATATATATATATATATATATATATATATATATATATATATATATATATAAGCTTAGGAACATAGCAACACACTACGTAATGTCAGTGCACTTCGAAGGTGATCGTATTGTGGTTTTTATTACTTATTTAAAACCTCTTTTTATTATGTCTTGCATTAACTCATACTCGTGCCATACAAGGACAAGAATTTTTTATGGTAATTATTTATATATTGTAAACTAACGTGATATTGTTATAATAAAAATTGAATATCTTATTAAAATAATTAGTATTAACTTAGCAAATAATACACAGTAAATAATTCAGCTTATATTCAATGTATTTTCCTCGAGTAAAATCTTGATTCTTAAATGAACTATTTTTGAAAATAATTTAGACCAATTTTCTATTCTGAATAATTAACTTAATTTCTGATGAAATAAATTAAATTGGCATAGTTTTCGCGCCATTTGATTCGATACCCATTCATCGAGTGTATACAATAGTGACTTACTCTTATTGGACAAAGTAATAAGACGCACACAACGTAGAGAAAATCGTAATCGTTTAAGGCGAGCACAAAAACGAACGATTTAACGACACAATTTACTAAGTAAAGAGAAGTAATAGCCTTGAATAGTTTTTCTCTAATTTAATTACACAATTAGTTGGTAACAAATTTCATAATTCTAGGTCATACATACCTTTACTTCGATTTCCTTTCGCACTGGAATCACCGAATCGGACGCAAATAAATTTTTCTTGTTCTACCAATCAGCGAAGAGATTGTCTTTACAAATACCGCGTGACATATCACGTTGACAGCTGATAGCGTCCATCGCTTTCATTGAAGGGCCACGACTACTTGACCCTTTCCGTTACACAATCGAAAATAAACCGCATCGAAATGACGGCGTATGTATCTACTACCAACGCAAATATATATTAAAATAATATTATACATGTGGTTGACTTCTAACTATTCATACAAAAAACCTTGTTAAAGAATAATAAAAAATAAATCATTTATATTTGTTTACAATATTAATAAAATTGATATCAATAATTATAATGGAATATTTTACATATTTATTGAAAATATTTCACGCGTTAAGACATATATGCATACATACGTCACATTTTAGGTTACACGATTAAACACACCTAACATCTTATAACCTAAAAACGCGATAATTATTTCTGCTGAAATAAAACTTGATGTTTGGATAGTCGACACTTTTCTTTAATTTTTGATATTTTTATCCATATAACATTACATTAAAAAATAAATGTAAAAATCCGGTACTTCGTTATTACAGGTTATAAACTTGATGTCACTGGTTTCGATACTTTGCACATTTATTTGCACGACTTTATTGCGCAAAGATGGCATTGCAATCGAGACTTATCGACAGACGATAATCTTTTAAAGATTTTCTCACTATTGTCTCTTTCTAAATTACTACGATTAATTTAATAATAAATCTGTCTCTCTCTTTTTGAATATAATTATAATAATATAAAGAAAGTAATTTAATTGTTGTTTATTATTCTATTGAGACTTTTTGCGACAGATATTTTCAATTAGGATACAAAATCTATGATTTGTTTATTCAATGAAATTAATCTTCACTGTAATTGGACGAATCTGCAATAAGTTAAGACCAATAAGTAAAACGGAGTTTGAAATTTTGCAATCATTCACATTTCAAACTGTAGGCGTGGATCAGTAATGTACAAGTTATTAAACGTTGGCTTTCTATAAAGATTGACATTTAAAACTTATTATATACATTGAAAATAATATCATTCCTTTTGTACTTTGTAAAACTTCCAATATTTGAACCAATATACGTTTGAATTTTTTTGTTATCCGGTATCAACGAAGTAAGTAGAAAGTTTTCAAAGTAAATGACATCTCGACATTATACAATGTGCGATTATTAGATTTTTAAGGTACTAAAATAAAGAATTTTGTTAGTGAAAAATTCAAAAGAATAAATATTAAGTGAGTCTGACGATATATTATTAGGTGGTAAGTATAAAATATATTATTATTCATTTCGTTTGTATATTTGAAAAACGTGTGTGAAGCATTATCATATGGCGTTAATTTTTTTTTAGCTTGACTCGCATATCATTTTACCGTTTTAATTTATATTTTTTATTATTATTTTTTATGTCATTAGAGTGATTAATATTTGTATAATTTTCGTATTATTCATTGTTTTAATATGTAAAGAAATACTTTGTGATGCAAATCGAATAACCGTTGATAATAATACGATTTTTCAACTCTATGCTATGAGATGTTGCCATGTATGTATTTTGTTCGACCTATGGTGTTTTTATTTGATATTTTGTTTATGTTTTTTTTATCTATTGCGTATTATATTTTCTCATGCTATATATACTTACTGTGTAGATATTAATTTAATATTAAATTAACTTATTCACCCATTAGTTGTATTTGTTAATAATACTAATTATTATTATTACCAATATACGGTATTCTGTATACGATATATGTATACAATATGTCTGTACGATAGGTAAAATGGAATATCAAAATAAAATTTTACAAAAGATATCTAAAAACCAGCAGGTAGCTGTTATTAGCAAATTGCAAAATATGCAGTGGTTAAAAAATAATGTACCTTTACCAGGCTAGTATGTTCAATTTATTCATTTTTTTAAGAATGTGATCATAGAATATTAAATCTCTTTTAATAAATTTATGAAATTTTTGTTTTGTATAATTAGTAGATTTTATATTAACATCCATTATGAAATTTTTTTATTAATTTATCATTTACTAAGAAAAATGCATATAAAATATTATAATATTTTGTTGCATTATAGTGTAAAGTCCAAACAAATAAAGAAAGGCACAGACAATTTAAGAGATCTTGAGGCGGTTAAGTCCGCTAATACTTCTATAAACAATAATATAGACTTACCAAACTCTAATAATACTATTTTTATAACGCATGACAATAAATGTAATTTTGAAACTGAAACTGACATAACTGAAAAATCAGTTGTATCAACAAATGCGGTATCTACTTGGAATTTAAAAAATAAAATAGAAAATAGTTTTTCATTTTTAAATAAGCAAGAATTAGATTTTAAAAAATTGGAACGAAAAGAAGTAATTAATATGACTAATACTGATAATTTGATCATACAAAATTTTAAAATGAAATGTAAGTTGGAGGAACAAGAAAAGGACAATTGCAGTATGTTAAATATTGCAACAGAGGATACAAGTCAGTAAGTTGATCATATAATTTGTAAACTTTTAACGTAATATTTGAGTTACTTATATTTATACATTCCAATAATTAGAGACACTGTAGTGTGTAATCTTGTTCCGCTGAAAGTACAAGATAATATAAGTAAAACAAATCAAACAAATGTTGATGATAAAAATAATAATGATAAATTGAATTCAACATCTAGTATAGCAATGACAACAGTATTAAAAAAAGGTAATCAAAAAAATTCAATTTTATATTTATAACAATTTTTATTGTACGACTTATATTTTATTAGATAACAATCAAGAAAACTGCAGTAATAATATTAGTTCAAAAGATAAAAGTCCAGTTCCATTATGTACTACTAAAAAAGATACATGTAGTCTTAATTTATCAAAAACTTCCAATTTTTCTGGTAAATTTAAGAAAATACATGAAAATCAAAATGTTACTGTTGACAATAAACTCAAAAATGAAATGAAAGATTCTAAGAAGGAATCTGATATGAAATATTCTTCAGAATATACATCAAAATGTGCTAATAAAAATGTTAAAGAAAATGGACACAATAAAACAATCTTAAATAATGCCAACAGACAATTTAAAGTAAATCGTGTGAACTCTTCATACAGAAAAACAGAAAATAAATCAATACCGAAAACATACAACGATTCATCAGAAACTACACAATATTCTGTTGTTAAGGAAAAAAAATATACTTCAAATTCATTTCAATCAATACAATTAAAACCAACTGCACAACCATTTAATATAAATGAAGAGTATTGTGTTCTTAATAATAAATTAATAACTTCTGATAATAAATCTGGTAATACAAAACCACACGTAACAATGGAAACTGAGTTAGTTGCGAAAACACCAACTCTGAAAGATGAATGCATTAATAAATTTATTGATGATAAATTAGTAACTAATACTGTAAGACATGAAACGAATACATCTTCTAAAGAGATTGAAAAAACTGATGAAAATACTATACAAAATTTGTCATATAATCACTTCGTTAATGAATGCATAGAACAAAAAGAGATATGTATAAATCCACCTTTGCAAGATTTGCCAAATTTACAAACGAATAACCAAAATATTAAAGAAAGTACTCACAATGACTCCTGTGATAGTAATCCGCAATTTGATAACATGTATTCTACTAATGTTTGGCATAATTATAAAAATTTACAGCAAAACATTTATCAACAAGAGACAATTTCACATCAGAATTTTTTTCATCCCATTTCTGATCCAGTTCTAAGAAGTTGTCCAGTAAATACTACTTTACCCTCATTAATTCCTAATGTGTCCAATTCTGATGTAAATGCAGTGCATTTAAATCAATATGGAAATGTACCGACTATGCAAAACAATTCAATGAATGCAAGCTCCATGTCTAATCAAAACTTACCTACAAATACAAAAAATGCAAATATGATGCAATATCAAATGCCAAATATGGTTCCATATAATAATTCAAATCTAGTTAGGCCACAGCCAAATTATGATGCAAATCCTATGACAATGTCAGATGAGCAATATAACTTACATGGATATGGAATGAATCCTTTATATTGCATAAATAATTGCCCTTGCTGCAGAAATAGTAATTATATACTTTTCCAGAATTGGAATTTACCTAATGTTTATGCAGTACCATTAACCATCGTTACAAATCCTAATCAATGCAATTGTATGTTATGTTGTTATCAATTGCAATCTAACAATATGATCTACAAGAGTCCTGGTGTGGTAACACAAAGCCCACCTTATGTACATGCAGAAGTTCCATGTGAGCAAAACTTGCAAAAAAATTTTATTAAACCTATATCCAAGTGTTGGTATAATGATATAAGTTTAAAAAACAATGAAACAGGTAACACTAAATTACAGATACAAGAAGTCATAATAAATATGCAGGAACAAATAGGTAAGTGAAATAAGAATTTAAAAATTGAAAAAAGTATATATTTAACCTTAGAAATTTGTTATATTATTAATAATATCTATTTTGGTTTTTTTAATGTCTTAATTTTTTAATGTTACATAGATCAAGGGCAAAATACTCAAAATAGTGAGTTATTAAATAATAAAGAAATTAATAATCTTCCAATAATATCACCAAAAGATTATATGAATTATGGAAGCAGTTTTCTTTCAAATAATAAAGCCACAAGACCTCAAACAAAGTATAATGAAATAAGAGAATCAACTCAGAGTTATAATTCACAAAATAAAAAAGGCAATAGACGCTCCTTTCTCTCCAGAGAGTATGTGTCTAATGCAAACACTGATTGTGGGAAAAAGACATTTAAACAGCAATACAATTCAAGTTATAAAACACAATAATATGGTTATCTTTTTTTTTTTTTATATAATTCATATAACAGTTTATACAATTGGTATAATTAATATAAAGTTCTTCTATTATTAATATTCTATTCTAGAAAACACTTAAGCAGTACATTTATCATGACTTTCAATAGGGTATGTCTTTTTTTTTATTAATAATAAAAAAAAGCAATTTATATATTTGTGAAAATTTATGAATATTTATATTAAAATATAAACAAGTCTTTTTTTTGGAACAGTATGTTCAGCAAGTTCCTATATTTATGTGATAAAAACATGACTTTATGTTATAAAAAATTATTTCTTTAAAATGTTTTCATTTTTCGTTGTACTAATTCATTATTAATTCAATTAAATAGATTAAAGATGACAAAAAAGTTAACGTATAAAAACTTTGTAATAAAATAATATATAGACGAGTATATCTAATTTTTAAGTTTTTCTTTTTTTTTTTATATATATATATATGAGACATTGTTATTATATTATATAGTTTATACACCATTTTCATTTTTTGTATTAAAAATAATAAAATCAAATTTTGTAATATGTGCATTAAACCTATGTTCTTTTTTTTTTAAATATTATTCATTAACATATTTACAAAACAAACCTGTAGGGGAATTATGCAAAAAATAATACTCTATGGTGTCACATTGTTTGTTATCGATGAATCGATATAAAATAAATCATAGATTTGTACTGGCGAACTCGTCTCTCGCTTCGACGAAAGTCTTTCTTATAAAATCATGAGGTATGGTATATGTTTCTGAATCCATGCACTTAATTCCATTGAACTCTTTTAACATGGTTAACAAATCCACATCTGTTTTTGCAATAATGATCGGCTCGTTGGTAAGAGATTGTATACTTTGTAAAATTTCTGTGATCGGCCGTAGTAATATTAAATAGCGATCGTTATCTTTGAAATCTTTGACCAGAGTGCTAATGCCCTACAAAATAAAAGAATTATTAAATTCATTAACACAAACAAAAATAAAAAAAATAAAAAGTATAGATTCTATTATGATGTTACCTGTGCCGCAGTAAAATCGATTTTGTCGATATATCCGCAATCCAGTACGACATATTTCATATTTTTGGAATGTATAAATGATTTTTTATGCTTATTATCGTTTAACGTTTCAGTCAAGTATATCCTCAGATAATCAACTGCAGGAAATAAGAGTCCAGCGCTTGGACGAACGAGAACGTAATTTGCTATAGGATTCTACAGCAATAAAAAATATAAAAAGTAAGTTATATTTCTATTGGTTGAATATTTTAATTATATATTGGGTAAGCTTATATAATTATTATTAATTAATATTATTATTAATTATTTTTCTTAACTGACTTTTCTATATTCGATGTACATGGTTGGTCGGGCATTGAAATAAATTAATATAAGTAGGTCGATTGCGATGCCTATCAAAATTCCTAGTTCAACACCGGCAAACAAGCATGCGAAAAACGTGATGAAAGCCGGGATAAGATCTTTCTCTTTAAAAAAAAAAAAAAATAACTAAATTAGTAAATAAATTTTAAATATTAATGACGAATATATACGATTATAAATTCTTACTACTGCTTCTCCAAATCGGCCGTAATATATTTATTTCAACCATAAATATGACTGCACTTATTATAACTGAACTTAAAGTAGCTTTGGGTATGTAATAAAAATATGGCGTTAATAGACTTAGAGCAAGTATAACCAGAATGCCTAGAAACAATGTCAACCGATTAATATTATGAATATTATTCATTAAATTACAAAAATATCAATGATTCACCTGTATAAAGTCCTCCTAATGGAGTTCTAACACCAGAAGAGTTGTTTACAGCGCTTCTGGAAAAAGAACCAGTAATTGGCATGGATTGAAAGAATGAACCGATTACATTACAAAGTCCTAAAGTTAACATCTCTTGCGTGGCATCTAGAGTTTGTCCGCGTGCTAAAAAAAAAATCCATGTAAATGGTACAACAATATAAAACATTTATTAGAAGTTTTAAAGAAGTAAGAGTAAACAAAAAAAATGATATATTAGAAGCTTACAGAAGGCCTTGGCGATGGCAACGTTTCCAATAATAGAAATCAATGGTACAACAATAATACCAGACCCAAAATGTTTACAAATATCGAGAAAAGTTTGAGTTTCGTTCCCGATTGTAATCGTAAAGGATGGAGGTTCCACTCGCGGTAAACCTGCATCGATGTGACCTGTAAGAAGGAAAGGTGCTCCATTCTGAATCTCAAAGATATACGATGCCACGGCACAAATAAGAACAACAAGGGCATTTCTCCCTGTTCCTAGGAACCAAAAGAACCTCTTTAGGAATTCGTTTCGAAATTTGATATCCTTCAGAATCTGCAATACGAAATTAGAAATAAGATCTTCGGAGATTGTAGATACAATATAAAAGTGATTTTAAAATTGCACGCTATCTCGTAATCACTGGCGTCATCAACTATTTATCGAGTTCATTGATTCGGGTTCTTTTCGTATGCAAATAACGGAATTAACAAGAATCATTTTTTAATAATTCGTGCATAATGACATCGATTGTATAGAAATATGTTTGTGTTATAACACAAGTACAATCTACGAACATACACTTGTCTTGTCGATTATATACAAACCTTTAAAAGCAGCAAAACAAAAATGCAACAGCAGGAAAGAATAAGATCTGGAAATCTCGTTTGATCAATATTATTATACAATTCCTTCCATATATCTATGAAACTTTCGGCGTGTATTTTCAAACCCAAGAGACCCTTGATTTGACTGCAAGCAATTATTAGACTCGTTGCAGATGTAAAACCAGCAACAACGGGCACCGACACGAATTCTACTAGGAATCCTAGTCGTAGAATACCAAAGATAATAGTTATGCAACCTGATAAAAAACAGAGAAGGATTGCATACTCTGGAATTCCCCTGAAAAATAACAACTCATACTTTTCTATATAATGTTTTATTTTGATTACGTGTTAGTTGAGAGATATTTTAAAATTAGCGAGAATCAAATCATTAATCAAAGATGAACAAAAAATATATTTTACGGAATATTTCATTTCTATATACTTCCATAAATTTTGTATCTGTAGTGCCAATATTTTTGTCTGAATGAAAATAGAAATTTTTTGTATCATTCTTACCTCGCATAAGTGAAAGTCAGCAAGGATATTAGAGCGGTGGGACCGATGTTGACCTCTTTACAAGTACCAAAAACGATATAAACGAAGCTTCCTATTAGCGCACTGTAAAGGCCATACTGTGGACTAAGACCAGCCAATCCTGCATAGGCTATCGCCTAATTGATAATAATTAAATCCAGAAAGCAAAGGACATGTTAAATCATTCGACCATGTATACGTCGTTGACGTAACTTATAAACGTAATCACATGCTTTTGAAAGTACCTGAGGTATCAAGGTCAATCCGACTGTGAGACCCGCAACGAGGTCACCGAGCGCATCTTTGCCTCTGTAAAGAGGTAACCATTTTAAGAGAGGAATTCTTCCCTTAATTATTTTTTTAAAGCTGATCCCAGTCATGTTTGTTAGTCGATTACATTCGTTAAGTTGTCCTTTGTAAGCGAATAGGATGATTATTTGTCTTCCTTTTCTTTTTCAACGTTACGACGTTGCGACGTTCGATGTCAGTAACAAGTCGTTGTTGAATCGTAATAAAATCGACGATAAAGAAACATCACCGAGTTTTTAAAGATCTTCACCAACTACGCAATGAAAAAGATTTTTAATCGTGCCTTGAAATATAATCGCTAACGTTAGGATTACTGTACTAACTACTTAAGCGGAGAGTTTTAATTGTCCTGCAAAGGAGACAATTCTAATTAGCCAATTTGTACGGAACAATTGGCGGGTCTTAAGATCGACACACGCGGTAAGCTACGTTTAACTGTGCTTATTCCAGGTGGTAAATGTTTAATAAGAATGAAATCTAACGTTAACGATGTTATTTTAAAGTGTCTTCATTATGCGAAAATATTGAATTAAGTATGTTTTTAATTAATGACAGATATAATGAATTATGATCAATAAGAACTTACTGATGATAAATATACTGATTTAAAAATAAAATATACAATATTTATACTTGCTGGAATGATAAAACATTAGCAGTTTAACGATTAATCACTACTGACTCCCCTCCATCGATTTCTGACATTCTTGTAGATACTCCATTAAACTCGTTTATCTTTACAGAATTATAATTATTTCGATAGTTTCCTCTTCCACATCTGATGTTATTCTCGTTTCTTTAAAATCGAACGAATTAAATTTAATTACTAAACAGGTATGATATCTTAAAAATACAAAATTACAAAAATAGAAAGAACAAATAGATTTAAGCGGTTGCGTTGTTGTTTTTAGATATTGTCTCACGAAACTCACAGAATCTTTTTAGAGAGAAGATCGTCTCTTGTACGATCTACCTGTTCGACACACCGATCGGATCTATAGCTTCTCTCGATTGGCGCGCACCTCTCTTCCGCGTGCTTCTGAACACGACAAGTGTTTAAACGTCAACGCATGCGTCGTGGTTAAACTTTTCGTTTTCGTTTTCGTTTTCATTTTCGTTATTGTCGTCGCTATCAGTATCGGTCATTGTCATTCATTCAGAAACTAATAGCCATCATCAACTTTGTCAAATCGATCCGTTTTTTCCACGCCTCCGTAATTTTCGGCAATTTTGGACACATCCGGTTCTCTCTCGTTCGCTACATTTACTTTTTTTTTTTTTCCTTTTCATACGAGTAATATTGGATTAGTTTTATTTTTCTACATTGGTAATATTTGTGAAAAAGTATTTGTGTTTCAAATATTCTCCTATAATATCTAAAAATATCTTTTATATATTTTTGTGCTTAGCTTTTTATTTTTTCTCTTTTCAATATAAGATTTATATATTTTAGATAAACCACCTACTGAAACGTGACGTATTTTAGTTCAATTTGCGAGATGTTAATGAAACGAGTACATTATAAATACACGTGCTTACGTTTAACATGATTTCTTTAGTTTAATTCATATAATTCATTGTAAGTTCTCATTCTTCATATTTATGTATTAAAATTATTTCTTCCCAAGGAAAAATGAATTATTATTATTTAATAATTTAAATCTATATTTGTGTGCCAGATACACATTCTATACATGATGATTTATGGATGTATTTATAGATTTGTAAATTTAATAATCCTTAGAATTTTTCCTCATTTCAAACGATAACTGGTTTGTTTAGATTCGATTTTATCCGTGTTCTAGATAGAAAAATTTATTTTATCACAAAAAGAAAACATTCGTATAGATTATTTTTATTATTGTTCTTATAAATTAATTTTGTTTATTAACACTTGGATTTATAATATTAAAAATATCTTTTAGCAATAATTCTTCGAATTGATTGTTACTTCCTCGTAAAAAAAAAAATAAACTGTATTAGTGATTCCAGGTTGGGTCGATGTTCCGTGTAGAGTTAATTCAAGTTCATTTAAATTCTTCGTATGTACGTTTTTACTATGTGTGACAGGTAAACGCTATTGCAAGGACGATGTATATATGTATTGAACGTTCTTGAACGCGAATAAACATTACATGTACTTTTTTTAGATCGTCTATATGTATAAATATCAACTTGTACAATCTTCACTCTCCGTATAATTTTTTTTCTATCCAAATCAAAGTTATTGGCGAAATTTGTTATATAATATTTATTGATTATAAATAGAAAATATACAAAAAATAAATACGCAAGAATAATTACAACAATTATATTGGAAAGGCCACCCACATGAATTTTAATCAGCCAAGGTTATAGATATGCGCTTTTAGTAGTGTGTACATAGTTATATAAATATATTTTACATTCGCGGGTAATTATTCATATCATTCCAAGAAACATTTGAATATCTTTATATAATTTCCAGAGAGCAATGTGGACACACTGACCAAATACAACTTTTATTTTCAATAATGTCTTACAACAGTACGAAAGCCATTAATAAAAAATAGTAACGTCATCAATTTGCTAAGAGAGTGAACTTTACGAAGTTGTGTAATGTGTAAACGTAAGGAAACTGTAACAATAAAACAAATTATTTATAGTCCACGTTAACAGAAAATAACGTTTAACTGCGTTGCATATAAAGTTTAAAAGACCATAATTTTTTGTTTTCATCGAACCTACATGTGTCTAACTCATCTTATAGATTGTAATGATGTTGCTCTGACTTTAGTGAAATCAAATGGGAAAATATTTTGTTAGTTATTACTACTTACGACACTCATAAGATCGTAACATTTGCATTTATATCTTTTAGGATTTTTTTCGCACGAGTAATTTCTTTCGTTAAAAGCTATTTATTTTAAAGAATTATGTATCGTAAGATTTTTCAATTTTGTGTTTCAATTTTTTGTCTTTTATCTGCGATATTTTTTATTTTTTATTTCTTTTAAATTTATGGAAAAAGAGAGACAAATATATTCTAATATTTTATTGAAATTAAGCAAAGTTATTTAAAGTCTTAAATAGATATAAAGAAATTAGTGTTTTATATAATGATTATTTGTTGTAAATGCAATAAAAAAACACAAAAAAAAAAAAATTAGCTTCCACAAAGAAGGTATATATGCCTTTTAACACAAAAAAGTTAAAATAGAACCGCAACAGCAGAAATAAATGAATAAGTGCTCTTAATTGCACATTTAAAATCTGTAATTGCACACTTTATCAATTAATTATTTAATTAGTTATTAATAATTAAAAAAACAAAAACATTTTTTCTCATTTCTAAGCAAACCAATGAAGTTTTCTAAAATATCTTTTTAAGATTTCTAATTGTTGTTTGTTTTTAAATGTATATAGAATTTAATTACACATTCACTTTGTGTACACTACTTGCTATTAAAAATTACTAGGAAATAAGAAAGTTTAAAATATATTGAAATTCTAGTAACATTGCTAAGCCGATATTGGTAATAGTAGTGCTCTACCTTTATCTTACCGACTAAAAAGATGTGATGGTAACTTACCAGTTTACTGTTGATAATTATCGTTAGATATATAGGAATTATTAATACTTTTATGGTTTATCGTCTGTTGATATATAGCAGGAAGACTACTTGTTTCATAAATAGCAATAATGAATTGAATAATAATGTTCTCATATAAAAAATAAATAAGATGATTTAATTTAATAAAATGAATTATAAACATGAACATTTTGTGTTTGCAAGAAAATGAAAAATGTTCAATAAACATTTAAATCAATTATTATCAACAATTATTATTATAAAAATATAATTGTTGAAATTCCTTATTTTTGTTTGAAGTATAATTTAAAAATATATATAATCAATTAAATTGGAAATCAAACACATAAATTTCGAAGTATTGCATACTATTTAATTTGAAAAAAAAAAAATATAAATATCTGTCAAAAGCAAAATATTTTCCAGGCTTATATAAATGTGAAAATTATCGAAGTAGACAGATGAAAAAGAAGATAAAAGAAATAGTAGCGGAAATGGTAGATTGTGAAGAAGTGTGAAAAAAATAGTTGAAAAGTACACATACTAGAAATACCCTTAGAATTAATAGCACCATAATAATAGTGTCATTACCGTTGAAATATTTCCCTTCGCATAAACTATTTAATGCGCATTAGATCAGCTCGTTTCCGGTGAACGATAATCGTCAGGAATGTTTCAAGGAATAAAATAATATAAATAGTACATTTCACAAATGTAAGTATGCTTATATATAAATTTACGTATTACGAAGCATCGTACTAGATCTAAGAATTCTAGGGTTCGTTGATTTCTCTGAGAAAAAGATAAACGAAAAGGTGTATCTTCAATGTCGACATATCTGCTTTTCAACCTCACCTAAATAAGTGTAATAATGTTTTATATTACTTCATATCTGTCTTTACTTTCATATTTATTTTAATTAAGATTCTAATATTCATTCAACGAAGTGTTACTCATTATTAATTCTTAGGAATGAATCTTCAATTTATTTTGATAAATTTTAACGTGCTTAACGAGTTAAAAGGATACAAGGATAATAATATTAGCTATCAAGGTTGCTCCTAGTTTGTTCTAGCGAATATGTTGTAACAACGATCGTGGAATATTTAACGAAGCTTTTTTTACTTTCCTCTTCTATATAAGTAAAACGCCTTTGAGCGTATACGTGCTAATCAATAAAAAATATTAAACATTCTCTCTTAAGTCCTTACACCAAAATTAATAAGTATATAACTACAATATAAAATAAATAGTTAAACATATCGAGAATAAAATTATGAAGAAATGAAAGAATGAGATAAAACTATGTTTATCTATTCTTTGGGTACTAAAATTCACCCACATAGAAAAAAGAAAGAAAAAAAAAAGAACTTGATCTTTCGAGTCACGCCAACTTGTAATACCCTTTTCGCTTAATTACAATCCAGTAATAATATCTGATATAAAACCCCGTCTGCTTATCGTAGAAAAATAACACAAGTAATGCTCGTAAATAATAACACTAATTGAAAACGGGTCGGACTCTTAACTCTTTCTTTCTCCCTCTCTCTCTCATTTTCAAAGGGATCAAAGGGCTAAGTTGGGATGGAAGAAAGAGAGAATCTAAAAACAGAGGAAAGGGAAGGGTTATAGGTTTAACGGCAAGTTTAAATCTATTTTTCGACGAACCTAAAGTCAATGATCTTTTTTCAAATGTTCGAAATGGAAAAAGAGAAAGAGAGTATGGCGCCTGAAGCAACTTTACGAAAGGAATAATGACCCTTGTGAATAAATTCCATCTGCCTACGTAAGATACTATATTTATTGACTTCGCACTGAACGGACTGGTATGTTGAGTTGGTAGTGTAACAGAGAGAGAAAGAGAGAGAGAAAGAAGGATAAGAGAGGGGAGAGATCGAGTAAGATCAAGTTCAAGATCAATGATCGAGGATGAATATACGAGGACAAAAATAAGAGAGGGTGATAAAGGTAAGAATTATTTTTCGGTTAGTTACGTCTACTCTGGGCCAAGGCCTTTCCTATCAAAATTAAAATTCATCTAGTCGATCGGTTTGAATAAGCCACACTTTATTTCCAAATCACGCTGTGACACACAGTTTGTTGTGAATATAATGAGTTTTGCTTTTTACGAATGGGAACTTTATGTGTTATAATCTTTCTTTATATTTCTTTTTTTCAATTCTGTTATTTTATTTATGTGTTATTAATTTACTTTTACCTATGAGATTCAACAGTTTAGTCACGTTAGATTATTAGTTCCCATGAGATCATTAAGGTCAAGCAATATGAATACGATTAGTAAAATGGATTTAATAAAATAAAAAATCGTGTGCTGTAAAGAAGTGTTAAAAAAAATAACCTTTTTGATAATATTGGTTAGAAAAGGTGTGCGTAGAGAAGAGTAAACAGACGCAATGTTCAGATTATAATCCTATGATTTCTATATCTTATAATACATTGGCTAATTGAAATTTCTTTGATAGTTGATAATTTATTAGAAAAGAGATTACGATACATTCGTTATTAAAAAAAAGTCTTCTTTTAATTTTACTTTAATGCAATCCCCTCATTTAATTAAATACGATAAGGGTATACGGTTTACCCTTTATTTTTCGTCGTTCTTACTTTTCTCTCTGGTTTCGCGTGTCCGTTTACTTGAAAGTAACTCGATCCATAAGTAATGTGGAAAGAGTAATGAAAATAAATATAATAATTATATCTAGCCGGGTAGAAAACGTCGATAAATTCTTAGAAAACGTTAGAAAAAATGTATAAATGTAAAATACATTAAATCGAAAGATCTAGACACGAAGATCGTATCATTTATATAAGTACGTATGATTCTCCCCAATCGAAATCTTTTCAAACTTCACGCTCGATAGATTTTATGTATACGTAGTAACACGTACTCGTTTGCACTACACGCTCGATTAATTCGATACTTGAAGATCCTAAGAAGGTAAGGATGTAATGGAGAAAAGAGGAAAATCACTTTCGATCGTTGGAGATTCGCTCGTGATTCATTATCGTATCATGGCTCCAACCACGTTCAAGGAAGAGTAAAATACAACACACGACTGTATAAATCTATGACTCTTGTTCATTCATTTACCTAGAACAGCGGAGAACTTCTCTAAAAGGGTTGTACCATTGAAGGAAGACATCTTATAAATGAATATACGTAAATGGTGGACGATTATTTTCAATTCTTTCTTTTGTTTTTCACGTAGAAACTATTCAACGATGTCGTAATTTAACGATACTTCAAACAATACTCACTTTACATAAAAGCGTTACAATAGTATCGTCCGTCAGTAAAGAATTTTTTTTTTTTTAACGTTCTTTACAATAGTGTAGTATTATCCTTAATTATGAGATTACAGATATCATTCTTTATTAAAACAAAAAATCTATACCACCGGTTCTTTTAATAGGTTTGTTTTTTTATTTATTAACAATTGAGCCCGATACACTTTTTAAACAAATTTAGTAATTATATATAAAGTAATCATACGTCTCTTATTTTTTGCTATAGTTTCCATTATTTTCGATGATTATGATCCATTTTTAAGGTAACTGCCTGAATTCTTTGAAGTACAACAAAATTGTGATTTACATTCAATGAATTTAAATAACAAGACACTGAATTATTTGTTACACCTA